AATACAGAGAAATTTTAAACATCGTTTTTTCACAGGGCATTGGCTGATGCTAGTGCATTCTATTGTGCTTGCGTAGAGTCCAAGTCCTTGAAGCGTAATCTTATAACAACGCTTAAATGATTTTGAAGGAATTTTCCCCGATATAGGTAATTAAATTATATTATCTTACTGTAAATACTATATATAAAGGAAAAGTCTTTTGGCATTAATCAAGCCCGTCTGAGGTATGCACCTCCGCGTCCGACTTTGATGTGCAAGTCAGTGCTTTTATCCTCCCAGACGAGTCTGGTACCAATTAGTCGTTCCCGGCGGTATGAACCGCTTGGTTAGCTTAGGCGGATATCTAGCCGGAATTCGAACCCGCAACCGTGTATGTAAGATAGTTCGCCATGTGCCACTACACCACCTCCGCACAATATTATATTAGCACTTTTGAATAATTATCATACCACTACTAGTGATGCACATTTTTATTTATTCTTTTTGTCATATTAATTTTTTTCGTGGGTTGGAGGCGAACGGCTCACTATCATAGGGAGAGGCCCGAATCCCAGACTGATGCTCGCCCTGGCTAAGCAAGCCTTCTATCCCTCCTGGATCGCTTGATTGGTACCAGACTCATCTGGGACGGTAAAAGCTATGGTTTGTACACCAGCTGGCCTAAATCAGTGTATAGACCGCAAAAGCGTTCAAGACGCCGCTGCAATTCTGAATGGAACTTGAGCATCCCATAACAATTATATTATTCGCATTAGAATTAATGACTCTTAAATGATCTCATAATACTAGGCTTTCACCTATGGGGGCGGTTAAACCGATTGAGCAAGCAAACTATAGCTAAAAATGACTTCAAAATGATTCGAATTTCCGGTGGCGTAATGGGCAGGGATAAATACAACGAGGCGATTTTTGACGTCAGTGTTTTTAGGCACAACAATTCCAAATTGCACCATCATTCACCTCGTTCTCATAAATTTTTGTCAAGAAAATCATCCCCTATCCAATTATTTTTCTCATTTACATTCCGTTCCGCAGAGGCAGGGCGATGCCAAATGGCGTCGTTACCGTGATTCGACTCTATGACCAAAAACCTCGAGTCGCTGCCCACCTAAGCCAGCCACTCGTCTTTCGATTGCTTGTGACTCGGAATCTAAAATTATAGAAGCACTGACTCATGGGGAACGTCCGTTCCGCGCGTCTGTCGAAAGTAGGTCACCCCGCTCACTTCGCGCGCGGCGCAGCCCCGACGCCCAGTACCACTAACGAAAGTGTTAGTGGAGCGGTTGATTACCTTTTACCTTCTCTTCAAGCTGATTGAACTCCTCTTCCATGTTCCACTGACAACTGCTACTTCCGTGAAGATTCGCAGCTGATGCACTGCGTGCGTTGGCTGCGGCGTGTCCTAGTTTCAATGGACGCGCGGAACGAAGCGCACCCGGTCCACAAGCCCGGTGCTTCTTTGCTCCGAATATGCGGGAGCTCACTAGCTTTGCTATACGCCTCATTATTCGTTCCAACAACAGCACATTGTTCGTGAATTTCCTTTCATCTACATACAGTTTTGTTATTCAATATCTATAATTTTTCCAGGTCAGAGACAATGAATGTACTGCNCCGAATATGCGGGAGCTCACTAGCTTTGCTATACGCCTCATTATTCGTTCCAACAACAGCACATTGTTCGTGAATTTCCTTTCATTCAGAAACAATTTTTACTATTCAATATCTATAATTTTTCCAGGTCAAAGACAATGAATGTACTGCAATTTTCTGCCTTTTTACTGTTGATAATAGCCTTCGAGATAAACCAAGTTTCTGCACGATACGTGAGAACGGGATATGTCAGGTGGGGACATCATTTTTATGCCTTTTTGAGGTTTGAGTTCAAGCTGACGGCTACAGTCGGCGATTGCGAAACCTCTGATGCTTTCACATTTCGCCTCAACCTTTCGAACTGATCTACGGGGCGCGAATCCGTTGTTGTCAAAAGTGGTCCTTGCCCGAGGGTAATCGCAAGACAACATTTTCAGTGATCCAGTCGAGCTCCTTCTACAAGATGCCTATTCGTCACTGCGAAATCGAGAAAATATGCCCATCAAGAGACCATATAGACAGGTAGCATTTGAATCTTCTAACATAAAATGCTTCCTCCGCTGATCACAGAGCTGCAATCGGTTTCGGTTATGCATACGACTTCATGAACTATCATAGAAGTAGTGATAACGGGCCTGCAAAGACTTACGGGAACTACGCTATATAGGCAGTGATGCCTTCAGTCGTATAGCAGCATGGAAGAGCAGTCGTATGCAGTAGGGTGGCTGGCTTGGTAAAATTCTGACTCCACTGACCTTCCTCTCCAACTAAGACTTTAATTCGACTTGAATTCAAGCCCCTTTCTGTCATAACCATGAGCGGTTCACTTGTCAGCATAATAAAAATGGTATGGTCCATTTCAAGGGCGTAGGTGGTGTAGTGGCAAGTGACGCACTATATCACACGCACGGTCAGGGGTTTGAATCCCGGATCGATGCCCGACTAGGCCAACCAAGCCTTCTATCCCTCCAGGGTCGGTGTACATCGGCTGGCCACCGCAAGTCATTGTATAGGCCACAAATTCACTCATTACGCCACTACGATTCTGAATGGAAGTCGAGTGCGGGGCGCATCCCTCAGACGGGATTGATTAAAGCCAAAAACTTTAAAATTCAACTTTATGGTCCATTTCCATGATGTCTAAACGGGAAGGCTAATTTGAGCTTTGAAACGAATGGAAACCTAGTTGTTTTGAGGTGAAGAAGCTCTATTTGATGTTTTGATATGAATAATCTGCTGATGGGACACCAAGCCTCTGCAGTTTCCCCTGAACATCTTCAATCAAGCTTCAGTACAACGTATCTTGAACCTCTATGTATGTGGGTGACTTCCTCGCCCAGTCCTGACCCCTTTTCACGAGTCTTTGTTTGGCTAATTGAACTGAGTGAAAGCTCGTGTTGTCCTATTTGAGGGCATGTACAGAGTACAGAGGCATGTAGAGGTGAACTTCACTGCCCATGCTGCTTCAGCAGCCTAGTGCTCTTCCTTGCAGCATGTCCCTAGAGAATAAAGAAAAAAGTAAAGTTAAAACGAACTAGGAAATTCATAATTCGATTTTGCTGTGCTTCTTATTTAGTTGAAGCCATTGCTTATTAAGTTGGCTCTTTTCAGTAATGAAATTATC